GCCCCAATCTTAGTGGGATGGAGGTAGTATTTATTAATACATTACATTTTTTTATAAAATGGAAGAAAATAAGTAGGCAATTAGGAAGAGAGATATAGTATGAACGCTTACTGATAAAGAAGTTACTAGAGATGTAATAGAAGTGTGATAATGGTGCGTTTACAAGGGTACTCTTATTTACAGGGGTAAATGTAATCATGTCTAGATAAGGGGTTGATTATGAGTCATACGATTACCATCTAGAAATCATAATTATGATTTCTTATTTATATTGATGATGATGACAATGTGTTCCTGGTTGTGAACATCTAATTATCACGAGGTATTAGTTGTCTCGTTTAAAAGCTTATTATGGTTTCCAGTTTCCATTCCCGCAATGTAATAAATCATATGAGTAGTTAGGAAAAAAGAATACAACATTTGATGTCATGATATTATAATGTAATGTCTCGTTAAAAACCATTGTCATGAAAAATCTAATGGGATGAAAACTTGTAGGAAAAAGAGTGTAATGCATTATATTATTCCCTCTCAAGTTAACATACATATATCGAAGACGACGCATTCGAATTTTGTGGACCTGTTTTTCAAATTTATTTGAGGCCAATGATTTTGTGCATAAATAAGCACGACTGTCGTTGGACTTGATTCTTGATTTGTTTGACATCAATCATTCCTTCTTTCTCGAGATCATGTGTAGAGATAGAAAAGTTTTGATGTTATATGTTTTGTTCTATACCCTTTAATTTAACATCCTTTGATCTGAGCTATACACGTCGTGTTGTCTTCATAAATCACAAAAGGATCACAAGTAAAAGATTTTATACCACATTCATTTTGTATGATATCAAAATTTTGCGTGATTTGATGATGTGACGGTTAATATTTGCTTCATTTATATCCACGAGATAGCGGTATCCCATTAGGTGAAGAAATATCATATTTGTGATTTTGCCTTTTGTGACCACACATGTATCCTACATCAGCATAGCCAGTTAACGTGGCATTTGCTTCATTCTTGAAATGCAATCCAAAATCGATTGTACCATTGAGATAGCGGAATATATGTTTGACATCATTCTAATGTCTTCTTGTCGAGGAAGACCGAACTTGACTAAAAACATTACAAAAAAGCAATGACTGGTCAGATTTTATTAGCCAAATACATTAATGCTCAAATAGCACTCAAATATAGTATTCCGGGTCCAAGGATTTCTTCACCATCTTCACAAGGTCGGAAATGATTATCATGCACATTGAGATATCGAACCACCACTGGAGAATTGACCGGGTGTGTTTTATACATGTAAAACTGCTTCGAAAGCTTCTCGGTATAATTTGATTGGTGGATAAAGAAAGAATGTCTCAAATGTTAAAAATTTTGTTCTCCCAAAATCTTTCATTCAAATCCTTTCATGAGATATTTTGCAGTATTTTCAATTTCATTGGCAATTTCAATAATGTTCATTGGCAATCATCAACATATACTCCAATTATGGCGAATCATGATTTGGATCGTTGATAACGTTTATAGTGGGGGAAAATAAGCAGAAAGTTAGGGAGATAAATATAGTATGAACACTTAGCGATAAAGATGTTATTAGAGATGCAATATATATGTGATAATGATGCATGTACTTACAATGAATGAGAATACTCTTTTGGGGGGGTGTAATCATGTCTAGATCAGGGGTTAATTGTGAGCCATACATTTACCATCTATAGCTAATAATTATGGTTTCTTATTTATATTGATAATGATGATAATGTGTTTTTTTTTTATCACGAATAGGTGGAAGATGACTAATTCAATTATATTTCTAACACATTTCACTTAAAATAAGAGACATTCTTCAGGATAGCCGAGTCGCTTGAAGAGAGTTGTTAATAGGAATGACAATTGTGATCGATCCGATGGATACAGGCACCGATTTGCCCCGTCAAAATGGAGAAAACTACATTGATCGGGTAACGGGTATGTGGTGGGAAATACATGTCATGCACCCGCCTCATTTATTTTTAGTTGGATTTTGGTTACATTTTTATCGATTATTTGTACCACAACTAATAAAAGATGAGATTTTTCTCTCTTCATTGTGTATACATGGATAATGGATGTACTAACCATAGTGTATAAATGAAAGTTCATAATAGATTTTAAAGTTATTTTTCAAACAGGGATATTTTTGCTTGTAATCTGCCATGTCAGCACAATGGCCACATCACATATTACACGTCATTCAGGCTCTTCCATATTATCTAATTTCGGTGTGCTAAGAATTGTTTTGAAAAATAGGGGCTATGGGGATAGAACTGCTGACCTAATGTACGCAACATAAGGTCCATAACGCCAGACTAACTCAAGTTGTCACATAATCCACAACCCATGTATTTTGAGAGCTTCCCAACACCAATTTTTTTGTTCTTCGTCTAGCCAATATATTACATTAGTGGATTAAGCAAGATCATCAAATTCGTATTTAATTCATGCAAAGTTGAATTATTGAAGTGTAATTTTGTAAGAGATGGAAGTTCAAATTAAAAAAATACAGCCACACTTCTTTTCAGATTTTCAATGCGAATAGTCAAAATTCTTGAAATGTATGTTAGCTCCCTTTCAAAATCATAATGTAGACAAAATGAATGATAGAAAATTACTGAACTAGATAATAATGAAACAATTGAAATTTTAAACTCAAAGGTAATCTAAATAAGTAAAAAGTTCAAGCTCGATGCAATTTTGAAAACAAAAGTTATTTTGAAAAGTATGGATTAATGATCTTACAACACTCTAGATTCTTAAAACAAAACCATATATTAATGATGTCACAACAATATAAAAAAAGTCATTAAGCACAATGCAAACTTCAAAATATAGACTGAAAACTATTGATTAATAATGAGGTAAAGGTCAGTTTGGTACTCGAAGTTGCATAAAAAAGGTCAAACAAGTCCTTACATAGGAGGCTCTGTCCGGCCATCTTCATTTGGGATAGTTCCTGGTGAAATTTTTTGACTAAATTTTTTGAGCATCTTATTCATTAAGTCTAGTTTACTCATATCAAATTTCAGCTAAAAATTCAACCAGGAAGATATTCAAATGAATTCTTAAAGATGACTACGTAGTTAAAAACACAGTTATCTTCAAGAATTCATTTGAATGCTTTCCCGGTTGAATTTTTAGCTGAAATTCGGTATGAGTAAACTAGACTTAATGAACAAGATGCTAAAAAAAAATCATCAAAAAATTCCACTGGGAACCGCCTCAAATGGTGACGGCCGGACAGTAAGGACTTACTTGACACTTTTTATGCAACTTCGAGTACCAATCTGACCATTACCTCGATTAATAATCTTACATTTAAACTTCATTATCTCTGTAACAATCATTATTCAAAATAATTTTCATCTGTAAAACTGCATTAGGCCGGAATGGATCATAATTTAATGTGCTTAGATTTTATTTTTCAAAATATAGTTTATTTTGAAAGAATCATAGGTTCTAAGAAAACATAGACTGATCTATGATTCACTAAAAGATGTGATATGTGAATCACATTCTTTCTCAAATGAGTTTTAAGCAACTATTAAAGAATGATGATATGTGAATGATATGTGAATGAGCTTAATATGCTTAAACTTCAGTGTGCAGTTTATTCTTAAATGAATTTAATGTGATCAGAGCTTAGTTGAGTTGCACAACATATGATTAATTCGTTGAGCTTGATTTGTGATTCATGTCTCAAACTCAATTCAATCTTTAAGCACATTAAGCACATTTATTTGTGTTTCATCCTCGATGCAATATGAAGACAACATAGAGGCATATGGTAAATGGGTCACCTTTGTGTCATGTTTATATGTCATTTCTCATATTTGTGGTTTCGATTTTACTTGAGCACTTGCGAATGATAATCAAAACAACTAAAAAGATCATCAACCGTGTAAAACTCACCTGCATAACTCTATGTACACTACAATCTTTTGTTGTTGTTGTTTAGTCTGGAGCGCAGCATGAGAAAAGAAGATAGCAATGTGAATGACATCGTTAGAGCAAACTGAAGCACCACCAAATCGGGATAAAAGAACAATGTTCTTAGAGACCTGATAATATTGTGACAATAAAAATACATCATAAACTTAACTCAATGGTTCCATGTGCTCAAGCAACAATGAAGGATAATCCCCATTAATTTGTTATTCATTCCTATCAACGCTGAATTGAATGAAAACAATATCTGGATGAAAGAATGTTTAAAATACCTTAGCTGAGTTGATAGAAACAATAACTCAAGAAGGTTGAAAGATTCCCTTACGTAGTATGTTGAATCGGAATTCAAATCAAGTAAAAATAGAGTTAAAAATACAAGAGAAACTTAATTGAATCTAAAATTAATAATTTGGTTGAATATGAACTATTATAAAAATAATGTGAAAGACAATGGAGAAACTTAATTGAATGGAAAATTAAGTAATTTGATTGAATAGGAATTGAAGTTATAAATCAAAATCTAACATAATGTCATTAAAGTATGAAAGGATGCAACTTAGCACCTGGCAGGACTGGTCGAGGTACAATCGACCTGTCAGTTAGTACAGATAGATCAATCGAAATCACTTTGCATACAATGCTTATGTTGAAGAGTCGACACCTTCAGTAATATCATGAAGGCTTGATACACGACGACTGGCACAATTGAATGACGCAGAACCGACCGGGGTACACTCGATCGATATCACTTTGCATACAATGTTTATGTTGAAGAGAGCCGACACCTTCGCTAATATCATGAAGGCTTGATATACACGACGACCAACGAAATTGCTGGTGCGAGAGAAATGGATGAGAAGACATAGATGGGTGGAAAAGGAAATGGTAATAGAGGAATCAGTCGAAGAAGACACAATGATGATTGATACGAGCAGGCGATTGAGATGTAGTTTGTGTGTGGACAAGAATATTGTTCATCGAACAATAAAAAACATTGTTCATTGAGCAGCAAAAAATTGCATTGTTATTATGTATATATAGGTTAAGTACATTACATTATGTAAGACTACATTAATCTTCAAAACTAAAAATTAAGGGGGACTAATACACACATTTATCTAATCAAAGTATAAACATTTTATGAAAACATTATATGTATAATATTAAAAAATCGAAAGTCAAAGAGGGGAGGTGCCCCCCGCCACCCCTAAATCCATCCTTGGTTGCGGACATGGGTGAGAGCTTTGGGGCTATTGACGCTTAAGAGAAGGAGGCAGAAGAAAAGATAGATGAATTTAGGGTTTTAATATATTATGGGTAAAACGGCAATAAGAGTCATATTTTTTAGAGAAAGTATTGCAAATGCAATATGAGATGATTATAATGTATGAGATGTGGAAGTACAACTCTTGTTCTGATTAACATGTTATTTATTGAACTTTCAGTGTTGGGAACATTTATGTTAATTTTTGTGTTGTTTCAAATGTTTGTAAATGTGCGTTTATTTTTCCAAATATAAGTCAACGTTGTCCGGTAAAAATGAAATAAAATTTGAAAACATCTGGTAAATATGTTTTCTAATTTGGAAAACAAAAAAGGGGAAAACGAGAACAGAAAAAAGACTTCAGAATTTTGAGCATGTTTTAATCCTGATCAGGTTTCCTGTGCGGACCCTGGGAGTAAAGGTTCTGCTAATTTGTCACTCCGTCCCTTTGGAGTTTGGATTTGTTGTCGACTGCTGCTGGTTGTGACTTGTGAGTTTAGCTCCTCTTTTTCGTCTTCCCCCAATCCCCCACACTGTCACTTACTCACTCTACTCGGCGGTGATATGGTGTAGGTTTTACGACTTTTCTCTCTCCCTTCTCTCCGTTAATCGAGCTGCCATGGATAGATACCAGAAGGTCGAAAAACCGAAACCAGAGGCTCGCATAAACGAGAACGAGATTCGAATCACTTCTCAGGGCTTGATCCGGAACTACATTAACTATGCTACCACTCTTCTTCAGGTAACGCCTCTAGTTTAACGTTCCGCCCGGGAATATTGCGTACGTTTACTGATTTTCTCGTGTTTTATTGTGTTAGATGCGACGCTTAAGTTCTTCGTTCACGCTTTGTTGCATATTTATAGTCTGCTTTTGCGAGCGATTTTACCACAGAAATTCACAAGTGGTCGTTGGTATATTTATTTCTGATGCCTTTGGTTGGTGTGTCACTCTGTGGATTAATAAATGATAATGTGAATGGGTTAGTGGTTTTTAGTAACGTGTATGGTATTATAGTCATATCTGTAGCAGTTCTTTCAGAATGCAGCTGATATTATTCTTATTTTAACACATTTATCATTAATTTGATCTATTTTTAAATCTTATATCTGTATATGTCCCCAACTTCCTCCCACCTTTCTTCCCATAGTAGGCTATAACATGTTAAATTAAGGGCATATTGCATGCTGCAATATGCCTTGATATATGGCTCACTCAAATTCTTGACCACTCCACACGGGAAAGCCTATGCTGTCTCAAATCAGTTTGTATGTGTTCGCGTGCCAATTGTGGCAATTTTTAACACATATCCTTCACAGTTATGATTCATATCTATTTGATAATATTATGACAGTTGTAATACTATCATTTCTAGCTCGGTGCTTAAGACAGTTTGGATCTGTTTTTCCATTGTATATTTTTGTTTCAATTGACACGTCACTTCTACATAAATATAAGGATCTTATAAAATAGCTGAATGGCATCTCAGCCTTTTTTCCACGGTACTTCTTAAGGGTGCTGATGGGTTGTTATATTGTTTATTCCCATATAATCCGAAAAGGTCATCTTAGTTCTTACGTGTAATTTTACTTGAATTGAATGGTTTAGGAGAGACATGGTGAAGATATTGTCCTGAAAGCAATGGGTCAGGCAATCAGCAAGTCAGTACTTGTTGCAGAAATTATCAAGGTGGTTTATTTCTTACCTAAGATCATCTCTTAGAGACTCTTACACTATCTATCTTACTTGCTTTGTTCATTCCTTTCATTTATATTATCACATCCTTGGTTTGTGATATATATTTTTGTTGAGTTACAGAGAAGATTTCCTAGATTTCACCAGGATACTGCCATCAGCTCTGTAAGCATAACAGATGTTTGGGAACCCATTGAAGAGGGGCTTGAGATGTGAGTTTGACCATGGCCATTTCACACGTTCTAGACCTGAAATCCATATTTCAGATGATTTCATATTTTTAAACCATTGTGAATAATGCTTATTACAGTGTGGAGCAGACTCGCAATGTTTCCATGGTTTCGATAACCTTATCAAGTAAAGAACTAAACAAGAACTCTCCCGGGTAATTTTCTTCGTATCAACAAAAACTTTATCTAATCGAGTATAATTGTTTTTATTGATTAAATACAACTGGATCCATATTTTAAATCTTCTTTAACATGTTTTGGTATTTTACATTTTAAACTTAAGATTCATCTTGTGAATCAAATTCTAATAATTTTCTTAAGTTATAATTTGTTTGCTTTCTAAATGTGTCATTGTTTGATTACTATAAAGTTTCTCTGTAGCAATGTTTTAACATATCACAAGCTTCGTAATATGTAATATGGCATGGTTAGACTTCACTGGATATTGACTGTTTTGTGATGGCTACTCTTTCAGTGGGGCCTGACTGATTATTTATTCCACCAGGTATCAATCCCCATCGCATGCTGCTGATAAGCGGAAACATTATAATAACTACCAGCCACAGCTACCACCTAGACAGTCACGCCCTGCTTATGGTAGTCGTGGTAATGAAGGTGATGATGGAATAGATTAGAATGTTAAGAAAAAATAAATTGAAACTTTGAAATAGTCGAACCAGTGCAGATTGTAATTGTTTGCTCTTTTCAGATTTTTATGATCAAGGAAGAGGTAGTGATAGGAGAGGAAGGGGTTGGAACGGACGTGGTGGATATGGAAACTATCAGGGGAACTACTATAATGGAAACTATCAGGGGAACTACTATAATGGAAACTATCAAGGGAATTATCAAGAGAACTATCATGGGAGCTACCATAGAAATTATCAAGGTAGTCGTATTTTGTTTATGTGATCATAAATATTTATCTTTACTTATTATTATGTATGATTTATTTTATATTTAAACCTTTTCATTGCTGTCGTGGTATGCAGTAAATGAAGGGTACTCAAACCGGGGAAGAGATGGTGGTCGCAGTGGTTGGGGTTACCGTGGTTAGTTTACTTTTTATTTTGCATTTCATGATTTTCTCAAACTAGCTGTGTGCCTGTGCATCATTATCAGCTTCTCAAGGGTGTGTTTGGATCACAGAAATGCTAGGGAAAATATAAGATATGTCAAGGAAAGTCGGTGTTCAGTTTTACATCAGAAAATGTGAAAGAAAATATGAAATTTCTAAATATGTTTAGATTTCAGTCTCTGTACACTATAAATAGTTAGAATGAGTGAACAAATATAAAGTATGACCTAATTAATTTGAAAAAAATGTTTTATTTTCTTTACATTTTTTATCCTTAAAAAAATCCTCCCTTTAGTTTTTCTTCTCTATTTTATTTCCATGGCATTTCTCAAGTTCCAAATGGACCGTTGATGTCTTAGACTCTTAAGTATTGGAAATGATATACTTCAAATTTGTTTGATGGCATTGGGAATGTATAAATAAGCAGTGATATACACGGTGTTTGCATTTATTTGAATAGGGTCAGGAGGATATGCAGGCGGCGGTAGGGGCGGAGGTGGTAGGGGCTATGGTCGTGGAAGGATGGGCAACCGCGGTCCTTCAAGAGGAGGTGGTGGGTATCATGACTACTAGGCTTGCCTGGGTTATCATGAATTTTTGGGGTGGCGTCACTTATCTACTGAACTGCTAGGCGATTTTTATTAGCACCCAAAAAGTCTTGTTTCAGTGCATTGCATTTTATGAAGCCATGAAATTCCAAGTGTAGCTAATTTTTGTCTGCCTTCATTTAATGCACCACTCTTACAAGTGTGTATATGATGGGTCAGCTGCTCGTTAATGCTCATGTTCCATATTAGTTGTTCCAAATTGTACTCTGATTTCCTAGTTCCTCTGATTTTATTATTTATCCTAAACTTTGGAAAGTTTTTCTATTATTTGCTTTATCTTTTGTTTCGGCCCTTGATGATTTTCCATTACCCACTTTTTCATTTTTTTTTCTTTTAACTACTTTCTCTACTCCTTTCTTTCTTTTCTACTTTTTCATAGGGCTGGCCGGCTGGGACTTCTGAACCAAGAACCGGAGAACCAAACCGGACCGAATTGTTATGACCTGGTTCGGTTCGGTTCAAAAATTTATGAGTTATTTGTTAATGGTTCAGTTCCTATTTTTTATTAACAGTTCGATTCTCGGTTCCTGAAAAAACATGTACATGGAACCGTTATATATAATAATTAAAATTATATATATTTCTTATTAGTATATATATTTTAATGTATATTTACTTATCTATTTTCATATTACATTCACTATTTTAGTTTAGTTATTTAATCATTTGAAATTATTTTTCACTTAACTGGTTTTATTGTGCTTCTTTAGCGAATATCCTGTTTTGTTTTCTAAAATTTGCAGTTTGTTATGTATTTATGTTTTAAACTCAATTTTTGAGGTTTGAAATGATGTTCAACATATTTGTATTATAATATCAAGCGATGAATGTCTTTTTGACACAAATTTATCAAGCGATTAATGTCTTTGAAACAAATTTAATCGTGATTTGTAAGATTTTTTTTAAGACTGAGAACTGTTAAATGACAAGAACCGAACCGTTAAGAACGGTTCGGTCCCTTATTGGTTCTTCAAAATAATTAATAAGAACCGAACCGTTAGTAAAATGTTGTGAACAGAAAAAATAAAATCAATGGGGTAAACCGTTGCCCGATAATCAACGGTAAAAATACTGTTGCCCAGAGCCAAAAGGCTAAAACCAATTTTATTCCAAGATGAACCAGAATGAATCCTAACAAAGGGTTTAAATACCCATCTACTAACTCTTAAACTAGGAAACAAAATCCTAGAGGTCCTAATCAACTCCAACAAGGAAACAGAATAATAAAGATCCTAATCAACTTCAAATAGGAAATAAATAATAGAAATCCTAATTAACTCCTAATAGCAAACACATATTAGAAATCCTAATTAACTCCAAAAGGAAACAAATCAGAAAAAATAAAAAGAATAAATATTAATTAAACAGCCCGCAACCAGCCCACGAAGGTGGGCTCAAGCCCGTCCCGCCTTCAGTAAACCCACGGGGGCTTCTTCCCCTCTTCTTCCAAGCCCAGATTCTGCTTCATATCATAAAATTTCGTATTTTCAAACGGTTCCACATATTTTGTCTAGGAACCAAGCCGGTCCCAGGCCTACCTTTTCATCTACTTCTTTTATACGAGTACTATTCAGGTCCCAGGCCTACCTTTTCATCTACTTCTTTTATACGAGTACTATTCAGTGTCTCAATTACTTCTGGACTTCTGGTTTGTAATCCCTGTAGTATTTTGGCAAGCCACGTGAGGGTCCATTACTTCTGGTTTGATTTTCTCTGCCAAAACGTTCCTTGGTAGATGCATATAGGCGTGGAGTCGGGCCGTGTCGGGCCTTTGGTGGTTGGGGGAAGGCCCGGAACCGGCCTGGGTTGCCATCGGGTTCGGGCCGGGGCCGGGGCCGGGCCCCGAGCTGGGTTGTAATTTTTTTTCTTTCCTAACTACCCCCTAACCCCCCCCCCCCCCCGACCACCCCAAACCCCCCAAAACATCAAGCCCAACCTGAGGAAGCCCAAAAAAATGAAAAAAAAAAAACGGTTTGGCCCGAATCGGGCCGAGTCCCCATTTATGCAGCCCGCCCCCGTTTGAGCCATCAAATCAGGTCAATGACCGGTTTCAGACCCGAAGCACCGGGATGGGCCGGTCCCGCACAGTAGTGGGTCGGGCCGGTTCCCGGGCAGGGTGGCCCGAACCGGGTCCAAGAATATTCATGCCGACATCTAGCTAAAAACTTGACTAGGTCGGAACAACTTTATTTATACAAAATAAAAGCATTTTCCTTGTAAATGTAGAATGGATGAACTACATTGGAAAACTACATAAAGAACCTTCTTTATGCAAATGTGATGCATCCAGTTATGAAAGATATAATCTAAGGGGGTGTTTATATCTGATTCTTAAAATTCCTTTAGGGAGCAGAAGCAGAAGCTGGAGTGTTAGGGTGAAATTATAGAAGTGATTCTGGTGCTCTATTTTACTCCTAGAATCAGTTTTTTTAGAAGCTGAGGGTGACCAGCTTCTGAAAACTGATTCTGCTTCTGCTTCTGCTTATGCTTTAAAAAAGAAGCAGAAGCAGAATCAGTTCCAAACACCCCCAAGAAGGAAAAATCGATCTTATATCTAAATAGAATTTCCATAATTCCATGGTTTATTTACTTTATTTCAAAACAATCACCAATCATCAAGTTTAGGCTCCATCAAATATAGTGGAAGCTCAGAGAATCTCCAATGCTAAAACGTGAATGGTGCATACGTGGCATGAGAGATAGCCAATTAAAAAATAATAAATAGAATATCTCTCTCCTTATTTAAAGGATCTTGTATCATTTTGGTAAGTTTTTCTTCACAATGTCAAACATAATGTCTAAATGTAGACATTGTGCTTGACATTGTAGAGGAAAACTTACCAAAAACACATAAAATCGTGGAAAGAATAAGAAAAAAATGTCAAAATTTTTGTGTCTATCTCTCTCATGCCACATGTGCACCGTGCACATTATAGCATTGGAGATGCTCTCGCATGTGGACACTTTTTTTCTGCAAAAGAAACGGTTCCACGCTTCCACTCATTTTGTAAACTCCAATGTAAAGTGATAAAACAGTTTCTTAATTCTATCTTTGAGGATGTTTTGACTCAAATTTGTTTCACTCTCATATATAATATTTTACCAATTATATATAGATTGAGTAAAACTCATCGTTTTCTCAAAGAAAACGACACGAAAATTTTCCACATCTCTTTATTGTGTTTGATTTTTTTGATTGAAGTAGTTTTTTTTAATAAAAGATAACAATTATTAATATTAAAATCGAGGACTAGATACAAGTTCGTCATAACCAAGGCTACACTGAGGTGAGACACAAAGCTGGAATCACGCTTACTAGCGGTCCATCTCGCTAACCCTACAATTTGGTAGATTTCATTCAAAGCAATGATGCACCTGCTACTAAAAGAAAATGCAGAAAATATAAAAGAGTTCAGAGAAAACAACAAATCAAAAGAACATTAACCAGCTTTTCCAGCCACTGGCAAGAGAACAACGGTTTGACCAGCCACCGCTAAAGGTTCCTCACGCTTATCCTCAAATTCTTCTACTAGTGGCGGTGTTACCCGGACAACACCGTCACTTCCAAGTTTTTTGGAGCAGCTTCATCCACGTCCATACTTGCATGTGCCCCCTCCTCACTAACCTTCTCAGTGTCCTACGCTTTCTTGGTGCTTCCTGAGTTGTAGCAATCTCCTTGCCCTTTGAGAGGAGTCCTTCCACCATATAGCTATCATGTTCACGTATCGCTTTATCAGAAAATGCTCCCTCATCCCTCATGTTTCTTGACTTGTTATTGCTAGGAATGAGCCACCTGTTACCAGAATGTGATCCACCCCGCCTCGTATCAGCTCGTAACATGATCCATAAGGTTTCTCCCCAATCGGTGCGCCACTATGCGGATTACAGGGACAAAAACGATCAACATGACCAAGAATCCCACACAGAATACAAAGATTTGGGAGTATTTTTTTTTTACCCGGTAGATATCCAAGACCCTAGGCGAGGGTCTTGGGGTAAGGGCCAGGGAACACCTCACCTGTTTATTGAGTAAAAAAGAGTACAAGGAGTAGGAGGACTATACCAACGCCTACTAACAAAAAACATTACATAACGTAGGATAACTAATTGCATCAAATTTAAGAATACCAATAAACTGGTTAAAATGATGAGTTTTGGTTTGGATAGAGATGTAACGGTAAGAAAAGAAATCAGCAGCTCTATTGACCTCCGTAGTGATGTTTTGAATGGTCCAGTTGATATCTCGGAATTTCTTTTTGATAGTGCGAATGCGGGACCAATATTTCCAGTGATGAAGGGAGTGCCCAATGACACTGTCATGCACCTCTCTATTATCAGTCTCAAGAATAATATTATTGAAATTATGAGAGGCAATAGTAATAATTTGGGAGTATCTCATAACGAAAAGTTTGCCCAGATCCACCTATCCCCCTCCTGTCTGACCTGTAAGCGCCTAGTCAAAGCCATAGTAATATTAATAGTGACTCTAATGCGCAGGAGCAACTTTTCTTTTCCGCCAAGAGAGCGCTCATCTACATGCACCAACGATCCGATGTTGTTAGCCTTAGCTATTCCACGGGCTGCCCTTGCTGTCATGTAGCTTAACGGTAAATTGTGAACCTTGACCAAAAGTCTGCATGATCCAGGGGGACCTCAAGAGGTCTGTCAGTACGCCCCCACACGTTTGATGACCACAAAATTTGCTCAAATGTCCAAAGCTCTTCATCAACAACTCTGCTTAGATCTCCTTTATGATAGAATTGTGGAAGGAATTTGAGATCCCCAATCTCGTCAATTGAAACTCCCTTGACTAATCACCGGATCATAGCCATTGTTTGGTAAAAAGAAACAACACGAATGGGTTTGTCCGATACTACTTGATGTACTTATATTTTGCACACTTTTTAGGATTAGTTTGTTAATAATTTTAGTTAATAAAGTTGTATCTTTGTACATATTTTTATTATTTGTTGTTAGTTTGGATTAGTGCAATTCTATACGGGTATTTTATATTTTCAGGTACATTTGATGCTATTTGGATACATTTGAGTGTGAAGAAAAGAAGAAAATAAAAAGTTCAAGTTATTATTTGTTGTTAGTTTGGATTATTGCAATTCTATACGGGTATTTTATATTTTTCAGGTACATTTGATGCTATTTGGATACATTTGAGTGTGAAGAAAAGAAGAAAATAAAAGTTCAAGTTGGAGGTCAATAAAAGTGGAATCTCCTTCAAAGTTGGAGTTAGGGGTGTAAACGAGCCGAGCCGAGCCCGAGCATGGGTATGCTTGAGCTTGAGCTTGATAAGAATTCACGAGCTCGAGCTCGATCTCGAGCTTGGACGAGTTAAATATTTCGAGTTCGATCTCGAGCCGAGCTCAGCTCGAGCTGTATTCGAGCTCTGGTCAAGTTTCGCTAATTAATTTTTATAGATTTGAACTTGAATTAGATGCTCGAACTCGAGCTAAAAATATTATAGGTGTACTTTTTCATTCTCATTTTTAGGTTATTTCTTATTTACTAACATTTGTATTCTTATTTTATTGTCAATAAATATTAAGAGTACATATTATAATTATTACAGATTATGAGTATAATAATAATACTACACACATGTTATTATTTTTGTAATTATTACTATTATAATATACTCCATCTGTGATAAGTATTGAAATGGAATAGTCCTAAATTGGAATATATATTTCAAAAAGTGTATATATAATTATTACATATATATTTATTATATATAAAATATGACACAAAGGCTCGCGAACCGGCTCGCGAGCAACGAGCCTAAAATAAATAGGCTTGAATTGAGCTT